AATGTTGTTAATAATTTTTTGAAGGTCACATATGCACGCAAATTTAAAAATTAACATGGTACAAGGGAGGAGAGAGCAGGCTGGCTCTTTGCCTGTATCAGGGCTGTTCATTGTCAAACCAAGCCACTCCCTGCTCCTTCCCGGCTGTGTGCCAGAGGCAGACACCTTCCGGGAGCGGTTCAGTCACACAGTGAGGAAAACTGGGCTGTTGTCGCGCTGAGCCACTGGCGCAGCACTCCTGCAGTCACGAGAATTGGAGATGCTTCCTTCTGTGAACTTTCCCTTCTCATTTAAAGCAGATCATTTGAGGTTTTCTTCTCTTTGCAACATAAATGAGCATAACTGATGCAAACCCTACTCTCTGCTCTTCGTTGGGTGTTTTAAACACATTTGCCTACCTATTCTCCAGCCTTAAAACACCTGACGCCTCATCTATACACTTCTAAGAACAACAGGAACTGCCAGGGCCTGGGAACAAGTGCAAGCTTCTAAGAAATCAAATGAAAATCAGAAATGAAAATTTAAAAATACACAACTCCAGGTCACTTGGTACTGGAGTGTAGAATGCCACACACCTTAAAAGCCCACCCGGTCATCACCGGATTAAAGAGAACATGAAAGTGTCTATTTAGAGAAACTCCCGTCTAAAAGTACTCGCTTGCTTTCAGGCAAGTTGGCACATACTCTACATGGATTCCAAAATGCAGTGTTCAGTAGAGTCGCTTGGAGACCAGTGGCCACTTGTGGTCAGAAGCACATTATAAAACACTATTAGCCTCAAGGACAGTTCATAAAAGTCCATCTCACTGCAAGTGGGCTGGAACCAGGCTGAGAACTATGGTGGAAGGTACGAGGGTGGGCAACCTGCAACTGGAAACTAACGATGCCACTCTGACATCCTCTGGATCTGAGCAACGAGGCACTCTCTAACAGGGACATGAGGCAGGAGACACTGCTTTACAAGGTGCCTGTCTGTCTCTGGACAGTTCAGGCTGAGGCTGCCTGGCAGAGGAAAGGGAAGAGATGATCCTGGTCTCTGCCAGTTCTGTTTCCAAGTTTTCCACATCTCTTTGGATTCCGAGGGGTCAAAAAGATGCTGTGAATGGCAGCAGCTCTGCTCCTCCATCAGTAAAGCCCCTGACAGCAGACACATGCCAAGAGAAGGGAGAATTCTTCTTTGCCAGTGTCACTGCCCATCCTGCCCTTGCCCGAAACACCCAGATAAAGGTTCTTGGAGCCATCTCAAAAGGCAGCAGGCATGGGCAGCACACTTTGGTTTTGGTGGCTTTGGTATGGGAAATGGGATGGGCATACAGTTGCTACCTTCTGTGTCCAGCTGGGTTTGGATTTGACTCCCACATGTAGAGGAATGCATTGACCTCCCAAGCCCAGGCTAGCCGCTCTGTCCTCCATGCAGGCTCACCAGAGAGTCCTTGTGGCTCAAATTAATGACGCTTCCTCAGAACCCCTCTATAATCACTTTCCCATTCCATCCCTAGTATAGTCATTTGTAGTTGTGTCTTCTCTCCCTTATTCAAATATAAAATCTTGAAGCAGGATCAAGGTGAGGCTTGTTAAAGGGGAGAGGAATGGGCTATTTCCAGCTATAATCAGACCAATGGGTTGAAACAACTGGACCAGTGCACCAAGGAGGGGATTTGGAAATAATAGCTTTCATCCAACATGAACTCACTTGCATGTTTGATGGTCAAGCACAGGCATCCACTGTGTGCTGGGCATTGGCTTGGATTCTGGGGGAGAAGCAATGTGAATAGAAGCCGGACAACCCCTTTCCCATCCAAAACTCAGATTTTAATAATGGAGACTATCCCTTCTTTTGATCCTTAACATCAACTCAGAGGTAGAATTAGGGATCGGGACGTGTCTGGTCACTCAGAGAAGAGGTAGTACTGTGAATGGTCACCTGGGGGAAAAGTATAAAATTCCTACTTAGAGCCACTCGACTTTGGAAGTTCGAACACACATGAGATACCCTGGCCTTATTCAAGTGTCTGTAGAGATAGGTAGGTACAGACTTCATGAAGTGTCACTGTTCCCACCATGGAGATCTTGGGGGGAAAGTGGGAAGTAAAGGAAGAGCATAAAGTATGACGCACATATCCCATGGTGGACATGAACACAGCACCCACAGCCAGCTTGCCCAGGTCTGAATTCCAGCTTGGCAATTTACTAGCTGTGTGATTTTGGGTGGTAGGTTAAACTCTCTCAGTCTCATTTTTTTCATTTGTGAAAGGAAACAAAAGTACCTTTCTCACACAATTGTGATGATGAATAGAAGTGAGTGTCGCTGAAAGCTCAGAAGGGCCTGTTTTTATTTCTCTGTTGTTTGGGCTGAGAGTAGCTTATAACCGGGAATGGATTTTCACAAAACTACTCTCTAAGGTCAGTCCTCTGCTGGAGAAACACAAACCAACCTCATAGCACCATGGCCAAAATATCCCTGAGAGTCCCAACTGCCAACTTGGGGAATTTAGGAACTCATGGACCACTGCAGACCCAACTGAAGGCTTTCCACTTAATTCACAACCACCAGGGAGTGTGAGCTCCTCATTCTGTATGCTCTATTCTGATTCAGGACCTAGACAGACACATAATTACTGCAAGGAGTCTTCAGCCTAGGCACTCTTCCTCCTGCAATGTCCAAACTCCTCTAGAATGGAGCAAGTCTTCTTTTGTTTGGCTTTAGTTCTGGCTCTCATCTGTCTACCTGAGCTACAAATAGCTTTTAGTTTCTGATCCACAAACTGTCTTCTGCTAATCCCAAGATTCTTAGACCTGACTGCATCATTTTTCTGGGTAACTCACTAGGTTTTGTGAGGAAATAAAAGATCAAAACAAACATGTCATGGGATTTCCCATCAGGAGTAGGATTAATGTGTGATGATATCAAATATTTTTCAGGGGTTGAGGTAAAGGATCTCTTATACTGCTGGTGACAAAGTCAATCAGTACACCTCCAGGCAGTATGGACTAGAAGTAAAAACCCACGTTCCTCCTGATTAGGCTACTACCTTCTATACCCAGAGACAGTTTCTTTGGAAAAAGAGTGAGGAGCACACCTAGGATATTTATTGCACCTTGTTTGGAATAGAAAAAAGTACTAAGAAACAACTGAAATGCCCAATAATAAGGAAATGGCTAACTGGTATACCCTTTCCAGCATTTAAACCATAAACAATATCCAGATTGTTATGGTTTGTGTTTAGATGTCCCCCCAAAGCCTTATACATTCATGGGGTGGGCTTCTGGAGATTTTCATTGATTCATGGTTGAATGCTGGGATTATGGGTGTGAGTGCTACACCTGCCTCGGGTGGGTAGCCTGCATACAGTATAAGAGAGGGAAAGAGGCTTGCTTGCTGCTGCTCCTCTCTTGTTGCTCTTGCTGCTTTTGCTGTTTTCCGCCACTGCCATGGACTCTTGCCCTCTGCCATGTGCTACTGTGCCTTGGAGCCAGCAGTGTGTGGACTGAAACCTCCACAAACTGTGAACTAAATAAACCTTTCCTTCCTTAATTTTGGATGTCAGGTATCTTATCCCAGCCATAAGAGAAAAGTAACCAAGACATAGATGTATTGAATGATAAAAGGTTATATATTATGGGCTGAATTTTATGATCGCCACCACTTGCCAAATTCTTATGTTAGGTTGTAATCCCCAGGCCCTCAGATTTATGACTGTATTTGAAGAGTCTTTAACAAGTAATTACAGCTGAAGGACTTATGGGCCTTAGTGCTATACAGTTGGTGTTCTCATATGAAGAGGAGGTTAGGGCAGAGACAGACAGACAGACACAGCTGGAAGACCATGTGAAGGCATAGGGAGAAGATGGCCATCTATAAGTCAGGCTTCAGAGAAACCAAACCTACTAACAACTTGTCCTTGAACTTCACAGCTTCCAGAACTGTGAGAAAATAATTTTCTGTTGCTTAAGTATCCAGGTCTATAGCACTTTCTCAGAGCAATCCAAGCAGACTAGCAGAGGTTTCCTAGGATTGTATACAGATGCACATCAAGAATGAATAGCAGAACGGAAGGGCCCACCCTGACTGGTTACCATGCTCTCATTTGGGGAGAGATTCAGATTGGGCTGTGGATGGTGGCTGAAAGGAATTTTAGTCTTAAAAATAAGTTTTGGTTTTTTGTAATGAGAAAAATGTGAGAAGAAACCCTCTAGTTGGGGGTAGTGCTCATGTTAGAGCTTTTGCTTAGTACGTACAAGGCCTGGGGCTCAGTCTCTAGCTCTTCAAAAATAAAAATGTGATCCTCTTCCACAACACTCTCCTGACCACAGAGTGGAACCCACTTTGCCACTTGGATCCAAACCTTTTGGGGCTTCTTTGTCAATGCCTGTCTCTCACTCTCACACACCTTTTCGCCATACCAGCCCATCCTGTCATTGTAAGGCCTCCGTGCCTCTGTCTGTCCCCTTTGCTTGGCATATCAGTTCCCTTTTTTAAAACACCAATGCTGCTCTTTCAAACTCCAGCTTGAATGTTAATGACTTTACAAAATCATTAGCAAAGTCTTACCTGGTTTTCCAGAGGCACACCTCTCTGTTATTTCCAGATTTGATCTGTATTGATGTCACTGGTTCAAAATCAGAGCTGCAGCCAACTAAATGCTCATTTGGTTCCAAATGAATGAATGATAGTAATGTTTTCTAGCACATTCCTTTGTCATTTGGTGCATTTCAAAGGCCACCTCAAAGTATAGCCTCCCAAGGGGCCAGAGCTGAAATCAGGACACGAGCGAGGTCCTAGCCTCTAGCTGTTTCTGTAATATAACATGACAACTATATTTCTGGGTCAGCTAAGCCCCATTTGCTTTCAATTCTAGTGAACTCAGCTAGGAATGTATTGCAACTTATTTTATTCAATTTTGTGCCCAAGAAGTCTTCAGTTACTTAATCTGCAATAGGTGCAAATCAAAAACTCCCACTGACCTCTGACTTGGAGGCTTTGATAATGCTGGCCTTACCTTTTCATTGGCTTGGGTGAACATTCTCTTTCCAGGTTGGAGGAGGTGTGTTTCACATGCATTGCATTATAGGACGTATGAGTGTAGTCATTTTCATCACTGTAGTCAGGACCGAGTAACGTCCGAGCCCATGTTCCCATGTCATAAGGAGGAAGGGTTCCTCCAAATTCAGAGGGCAAAAATTCAGGATGTATTAGTTGGTGAAGGCTGTTTAGATTGTTTCCATGCAGGAAAATCTGGAAAGAAAAAATAATTACCAATAACAAATCTGAAACATGATCAAGTATTTAATCTAATACACAATTTAACAGTGACAAACTGGATACACTGTTGGTGATCATAGCATTTAAAGAAGCATTCATTTTTGTGCCTGTACCTTATTCCTCATAAAATGTTAATTTGTTGCTCAGAAAAGGGGCACCATTAATCATAGTTTAAAATGAGGTTTGTGAACAGATAGGGTATTATTTTGTCATGGCTCAAATTTATACCTGCAGTCATTTCCTGATTATCTCTGCTGATGTCAGGAGCAAGGCTGTGCGCCACCCCAACCTCCAACAATGCCGGACTGTTCCATCTCTTTGCTGAGCGCCACAGCCTTTGGTTCCTCACTCGGTCTTTCCCTCCTCCCATCCTGGGCTAAGATACAGCTTCTTCCTAAATCTGTTCCCATGAAGCCTGCCTACGCTGGTTCTCCCTGCCCACCTATCCTGTCTTGCTTCCCTACAGGAGAGAATATACATAGAAAGAGATGGTGCTGTCTCACTCCTTTACCATGGTCCATTCTCACTCAGTGGAACTGAAAATTGTTTGAGAATGCATTGTGAGATATTTTTGCAAGAATTTTCTCTTCATCTACATTGGGGGCCATCACCCAAGTAAATCTGCAACTTCTGAACACATAATGGGTAATGACCTTTAGGAGAGAAAAATCAATTCCAAATTACAATTATTTTGAGATAAGCCCATAAGATGGACATACCACAGTAGGTAATTACCTTTCACTACAACTTAGAAATTGACCCTAAAACGTGACTTAAAGTGCATCTATCTAGTGAAATTGATTGCTACCCTTAGAACATGGACTATGACATTTGAACGCAGGAAATAGTTAACTACACATGTTATGTATAATTAATTATACGCAACAAATAAGTTGAACTAAAGTATAAGACCATCAGTTATACAGACATGTGTGCACATACATACACACACACCACAGTTAATGATAAAATTTCAATATTATTTTTATTGTACTTAAATAATAGGACCTTGGTAAAACAATTGCTACTTTTTCTATTGTATTCATTTAAATTTATCATGCAATTGTATATTTCACAGATAAAAGAGAAAATAAGCCAAGTACTAAATTCTTCAGAATTCTGTAGCACTTCAGAAAATAACATTTTCTTTTTTTTTGATTTTTTCTCCGGTACCAGGAACCGAACTCATGACCTTGCGCTTGCCAGGCAGGCGCTTTTGCCCCTGAGCTAAATCCCCAGCCCCAGAAAATAACATTTTCTGACATTACAGATAGGTAAGACTAAATTTTGATGAAAATTATTTATTTTTTAAAAAATTCAACTATTCTAGTTTTTGTAACACTCCTTAGAGGGTGTTATAGTATTTGAAGCATGTTAAAGTTAAATAGTTTCCCTGGTGTTCAGAGTAAACATTTCCCAGGCCCCCGATACTATGTCCAGTTCTTAAAGAACTGGTGGTGCTGTTGAAGGTGTTCCTCCTTTCTGGGTATCCTGGGGGATGAAGGAACACAGAGGAGGGGCTGGACCTAGCATCTGTCCCAACCAGTCCTGGGCCTAACGCTCTAGAAGCTCCCTTCTCTGACCCAGGAGCAAGTATCCACTGTGGGAGGAATGAAGGCACAGAGAAGCCCAAAGCCACGTACCAGCAATGTAGGAATCTCTGTCCTTGGTACTCTCCTGAGCCTAGACATGTACAATGTCTGGGAGTGTGTCTACCTGCTAGTTTTCCATTTGATAACAGGGGCGTTATCTTCCCTAAAAATCTAGAAGCATCCAATCCAAAGTCTATGAGATAAGAATTCTGCAAAGTGTGTGTGTGTGTGTGTGTGTGTGTGTGTGTGTGTGTCTCAAATCATAGTCCCCTCTAAAAGCACAGAGGTCTTCCACAGCTGAGTCTCCTAGGTGTCTATATATGAAAGATATTGGGAGAATTAACTTGCCTAGGTTCCCTCGGGGAGGGATAGCCAAAATCAGAACACCCAAAAGAAAACACTGAAGTATTAATCACAATAGCCAAGATAGGGAAACCTCAAATGCCTGTCCACAGATGAACAGAAAATGTGACACGTAAGTGTATATACTGAGACAATGGAATACATTAGCCTTTAAAAAGAGGTCCTGACATTTTTGATAGCATAAGTAAATTTGGAGACTATTGTGTTAAATGAATTAAACTGGGTACTGAAAGATAATGTATGATTTCACATGTGGGATTTAAAGCAATAGAACTCTCAGGAGCAGAGAATTGAAGGATGGGTATTAAGGAGTAGAGGTGGGGAAGAGGAAGATGATGGTGAAGGGGAACAAAAGCTCAGTTACTCAAGATGAATAAAGTCTGGAGATCCACTATGCAGAGCGATGACTATCATTCATAACACTGCATTGTATACTTGAAATTCGCCAATGAAGTTCATCCTAAGTGCTTTCACCCCACCAAAAGAAAAGGAAAAATTTTAAAAGTCTTAACTACATAAGGTAATAGATGTATTAACTGGCTTGTAATAATCATTTTACAGAGCATATGTATGTTAAATCATCACACCATATATACCTTAACTATACCCAATTTTGTTTGTCAAACAATAGCTAGAAAATAAGAAAAAAGAGATAAGTGGTAAAAAGAAGTAGGAGTCACAGAGTCTCTGGTGTACACATAGGAGGATACTATATGCTTTCATAAGCTGTCTCATTAAATTATCCCAGTAGCCCCGGGATGTAGGTGTTAGGTTCCCCATCTTATAAGCGAGGAAACTGAGATTCAGAGTAGTGAAGGAATGCTCAGCCCCTCAGTTAATCATAGTGTCATAAAAGCTTCGCTCTGATGAAGAGACCAGCTTCCCAAATGTCAACTCATATAATTAATATTTTTAAAGACTATAAGGTGTGATCATTTCCAATGAAGAACACCATCCCAGTCTTAGAGGCGATGGAGCCGGCAGTTACCACCCAAGAGCCATGAGAGACTAGAAAGGAAAAGATGAACACTCTTCAGATAACACTATATTTATAGGACAAATTCTAGCTATTAAAACATTCCAGGAACAGGAAGTGACTTAGTTCATGTCTCCCACCAGCTTTTATATATTTTTTGCGGGGGGGGGGTGGTTCTCCAGTACCGGGAGCCGAACTCACAACCTTGCACTTGCCAGCAGGCGTTTTGCCACTGAGTTAAATCCCCAGCCCCCAGCTTTTATATTAAAATGAATATCTGGTGTTGCATGCATTTAGTTTCCTTCAGTTTGTCACTGGGACTCTGAAAATAACCCAGTTCTGCTGAATTATTGATTAAATCCAGCCATTTGCAACCTCCTGCTGAGGCTCAAGTATTCATGGGTTACAGAAAAGATACAGTGAAAGATTAGGTTGGGGTTGAAAAGAATAAACCATAATTGTTCCTGATAGTCCCTATTTGGAATTTACATATTAGTTTTCCTTACCCGTTTCCTGGTCTTGTCTTTAAGGAATGGCTTGATGAGTGTATACAGGGCATGAATATACCAGGGCTGGTTGACAAAATGGACTCCTCCAAAGCGGGCAGGAAAGCTGTCCTGAGAAGGAAAGAGAAAAATGCACATCAGTGAATAATCGTTCCAGGTTAGATTGGATCAACACGATCACACCCCAGGGGAAAACCTGTTTCTTGCTGGTTGGTGTTTTAGTTTTCCGGTAGTGAAAGGATGAGAAGACATTCAGCTTCCTAGCCGTTATAATTTCCTTTACTCCCCTTGGCTCTCTCCACTTTGACCCCATTACTTAGAAACTGTACAGTGTCAGAATGGATGGGGAGGGGAGTCTATAAGAGAGTTCGTCCTTGCATTTATTCAGCCCTGGTGTGGGTTCCCACAGCTCCAGGTACAAATCTCTTTCTCTTTTCTCAGGTTTTCTTCTTTTCCTCCCACTCTCTAAAGATATTGCATTATCATGAAAATAGCTGAACTTTCTGGGTTAGTGGCTTTGTAGGAAAGGGCTGCAAAGGAATTTCAAGGGCTTTTAGGAGGCAAGGCTTTCTGAATTGGCCAAAGTCTAACAAGGTTTGCAAAGTCTTTACAGACTGTGCTGGTATGCTCTCACTCTATTCTGGGAGTACACAGTAGGTCCCAGAGGAAAAATACCAGTTGACTGAGGGATCAGTGGATTTCCCTAATTAAGCCATATGAGTATCATTTTCTGAAGATCAATATATTTTGTAAATATCAAGAAATATGACATTTAAAATGGTTTTCATTTTGGATTCCAGATAAACACATAGGCTTCTGAGATTAGAACCATGGGACAAAGGGACCCTGGCTATAAGGTCTCTATTAGTCCTAAAAGACCAGGTCCTTAGATCCCGATGAATGGCTTCAACAAATTGGGTTCCTCTTGGCTAATGGAATTAAAAAAGAAGGACCATCTACATGCTATCTGAATTGCCAAATTTGCTGTCAATTAGCTTCATTGCAAGAAACATCTTTGTAAAGTGTTAGCAAGGTGAGAGGAAAGCAGAGGGAGCTAACAGTTCAGGCAGCAAGCTGCTCCCTGCACATGAAGTGCCTTGCCTGGGTCATTTTTATTAACAAGGAAACTTTTATAGTAACTTATTAGTAACTTTTCTCAGAATTCTGAGTCTACAGGATCACTTGGCATTTTCAACATTCTGACCTAGTTCCCAACATGAGTACATGAAACTATGCTTAAAGGTTGACACTTGAAAACATTTTAAGTAATTTTGATCCTATCTAGAGATTTTATAAACTAGAAAAGAATTAAATATCTTGAAGGCTACACTAGGCAATTTCAAGAAAAGTTTCTTGATTTTCAGGGTATGTATTTTTTTCTCAATTTATTTTTAAAACCTTAGTGGAACCATCAAGTATAATAGTAGAGAGATTGTTCATACTAATTTGTACATTTGTCAAGATATTTCACTATTACAAATATAATGAGAATATATTCTGAGATCTGAGAATAAATTAAGGAAGAAATTAGACAATTCCTAGAATTAAATGATAATGCCAATGCAACATACCAGAACCGATGGGACACAATGGAA